TAGTGAACCTAAGCATTTTGCTGTACAACTTCCCAGGGGTTATCTATTTCTATTCCTTTTAGTGAAACTTGGACCAGTGGGACCTTAACAAAGAAGCCATCTATCAGTCAGGAGACCAAATATTCCACATTAAAAGCAGATAAAAATAGCTTCATCAGGAGCACAGTGAAGGTCATGCTTTTTTTCTTTTTTGTCATTTTTTCAGAGAGCCATTAATGGTCTTAGAGTGGTAGTATATACCAGGACTTTCCTGAATGCTACATCCAGCTAAGCTAAAGAGGAGTTGCCTATGGATTCTTATAATGAAATTTCTATGAATTTTAATATAAAATGTAATTTTATAGTTTACTAAGGGATCTAATGATTCTGGACAACACATTTAGAAATGGAATAAGGGAGGGGGGAAGTGAGACAAATAAATATATTGTTCCCTCCCACTGTGCCTCCAACTTTACTTCTTAGGGGAAACAGTAAAGATAGGTTAAAATTATGTAATTACTTTTCATTCAAACCATGCAGATTATTTCCATAGTCTCATAGTTTATGACATTTACTGTCTATATAACTTGTATTTACAGAGCTAATGTTCAAGAAGCAGTTTGGGGTTTTTTTTCTTAATAATAGTAGCCACAGTAACAATACCTAAAATTGTTTGCTGTGTGCCAGGCTTTGTGCTGAAGCTTTTACATGCATTATTTCACTTTATCATCCCCGCAACCCTAGGAGACAGTTATAATCTCCACTTTAAAAACAAGGACCCAAAAGTTGGACAGGTAGAGTAATAGCTCAAGGTCAAGGAACCAAGATTTGGAGAGGTTGAGGATTGTCTCAGGGTAACCGACCTAATAAGTGCCTGATTCCAGTGTCCATGGACTCAGTTACTCTACTGGCCCACCCTCTTGAGAGGTTAGCCTGACTGCTGGCTAAACTGCCATCAGGTAAAGCCTTGCAGTCCATACATAGGAGTTTCCCAGGGCAAAGTGATCTGGAGAAGAGAATGACCCATTTTCCAACTTGATAATACTCTCGTAAAGTGGTTTTTAAAATGAGATAGTCCTCCTAAAAGCAAATTATTAAGGAACACCCATCATTGAAATTATATTTAATACCTATTTACTACTTATTTTCTTCTAAGAGGATCCTGGTTTCCTTCTCCAGGCCTGAATTTTATGTTTTTTCCCAAGCCATTCTGAATTTTTGTTTGCTTCAGGTTAGAAAAGCTCCCTGGGTATAGCTGTGGTTCGATGTTTTCAGCTGCTTTGCTCTGTGCTGATGGTTTTGACTCCTTCAGTAAAGGTACGCTGGCCTACCATGGCTCTCTTATATAGGAGCTCAAATAGATATTGCAGAGGAGAAGAATCACAGCAGTTATGAATTGTGTTTCTGGGTCTGTGTAAATTTTAATATAATGGTTACATTTTCTTATTAATCATTTTGCTACAGGTTCATCTCCTAAACACACTCCAGAAACACACTGCTGCATAGTTTCAAATGGCCTTCTTAATTAGCTTCCAAGCTCTATTAGAGTTAATAGCTATATCAAAGCATAGCACTTAAAAAAAAATTTTTTTAAGTTTATTTATTTTGAGAGAGAGAGAGAGAGAGTGAGAGAGAAAGCACACACAAGCAGGGGAGGGGCAGAGGGAAGGAGAGACAGAATCCCAAGCAGGCTCCAGGCCATCAGTACAGAGCCCAATGCAGGTCTCAAACTCATGAACCGTGAGTTCATGACCTTAGCTGAGATCAAGAGTTGGCCACTTAGCCAACTGTGCCATCCAGGTGCCCCCCAGAGCATAGCATTTTAAATAACATTTAAATAAATCCTAAAGGCGTTTTATCACACTTAGTAGTCTGTTCCCTTTCATGCCACTGTCACCAAAATCATCAAGAATCATTATACTTGTTCTTACAGAAGTATTTTCTAGACCATCCATTTATTTGTTAAAGGGGAGGATATTGGTCCTCACTGTTTTAATGAGAAAAAACAATCACTTGAATTAGGAGAAATTACAGAATGTTGTCACATAGGTTCAGGTAAGTAAAGTTACAATGTTTTAGTGTCTGGGCTTGAGCCTTTTACTGCTAGCCAGGAATTCCAGGAAATTCTCTTTTGCTGTAAACAGTTAGAAAACTGGACCAATTATGTGAAACACTAGTTTTCAGACAATGTACAAGAAGAAGTATAGGACTGTGATCCTTAAAGGGATAGAAACAAATGAAGTGAGATGTCTGGTTGCCCCAGGTCACTGTCTGGAGTCAGTTTCCAGAGAGAGGGGGAACAGAACAGAGCCCAGGGATCTTGCCGAGTTCACAGGACAAAGATCAGAGTATGGGGAGATCAAGATGGTAGAATTTTCAGGACGAGGTCTGGGGGTGAGGGAGCTTCATGACGAGAGCATTCTAGACATCTGCAGAATTGTTCCTTCAGTCTTGGGCTGCAAATTTATTAGTCTATGCATACTTAAGAGCAACTACTTAACACTGGAGAGAGAAACACTAGAAAATAGGCCAAAAAATTCCTGGAACTCACAATACATGGGAATAGTTCATATTCATATCAGCCAGCATAGAGAGATCTCAAAACATGTATATGAATGAGAGAGACAGACAGACAAAGGAGAGAGTCAGTAGTGCAAAGGGATCTTATGATCAGGATTGGAATAAATGGCCAGAGAAGTCAACATGGACAATGTAACCAGTGACCAGTGGGAATATGACCATTTCAGCTATGACAGTGCCAGTGATCAAGAATCTAGGACCATGGTGACATGATTGTATATCCTGGAATATTCCAGCACAAGACTCTCTATAAATGCTCAGTGTGAATGTTGCCTAGAAAGAAAGGTGGCAGGGTGCCCTAGTGGCTCAGTCAGTTAAGCGTCCGACTCTTGATCTCGGCTCAGGTCATGATTTCATAGTTTGTAAGCTTGATCCCCACATCCGACTCTGTGCTGGCATTGCAGAGCCTTCTTGGGATTCTCTCTCTCTCTCTCTCTCTCTCTCTCTCTCTCTCTCTCTCTGTCTCGCTCACTCCCCTTCTCTCTCTGCCCCTCCCATGCTCTTTCTCTCTCTCTTTCCCCCAAATAAATAGACTTTAAAAAAATAAAAAAGAAAAAGGTAGAGAAGAAAAGGAAAGACCTGAATTTAACTTAGTTTAAATTTTAAATGATTAAGAAGTTACTGGATTTGACTACATGTATCTGAATTGTTTTCTGTCTCTAGAAAATGTGTTCAATTATAGGAAAATAAAATCATTTATATATAACAATTTGTAGTTTTTAAAATTGTCTACTGGCATATTATTTAATGTCATGGGACCTGATTGATCATCTTTGAAATAGGGAAAATAATATCAACCTCATACAACTGAATAAGATTTCAAAGGATAATTTATGGTGGCGGGGTGGGGGGAACATTTATACATTTAGAAGAAAATTTCCAGTGTGAATGTTAGGTAAGCTTAGGTTTTCTTGGGTTATTTTGTGGGTTTTTAAAAATTTTTTTTAATGTTTATTTTTGAGAGAGAGAGAGAGAGGCAGACTACCAGGGGGAGGGGCAGAGAGAGAGAGGGAGACACAGAATTGGAAGTAGACTCCAGGCTCTGAGCTGTCAGCACAGAGCCCAACTCGGGGCTCAAACTCACAAACTGTGAGATCAGGACCTGAGCTGAAGACGAACGCTTAACCGACTGAGCCACCCAGGCGCCCCAGGTTATTTTGTTTTTTATGTGAGCTCTACACCCAGCACAGGGCCTGGATTCATGACCCCCAGATTAAGAAAGAGTCTCATGCTCCATGAGCCAGCCAGGTGCCCCCAGGCTTAGGTTTTTAAACCAATGTGATTTCTGTTATTTCAGGAGGCTTGCTCTGGCTACCATGAATATGATAACTTGAAGAAAGGAAGGCCATTAGGAGGAGACCAGTTAGGAGGCCTTGTTCAGACAACAGGGAATGAGGCCATATTTAGGAAATTGCCGTGTTTTGGGTTCAAGAGCCATTCCAATGGTACAAATGTGAAGAAGGGTAAGGAATTAGGGAGGAGTCAGAAATGACTCCAAGGTTACAGGCTTGATGACTAGGAGGACAAGGATGATATTAACTGCGTTCAAAAGTAAGGATGTCAGCAGGTTTGAGAAAAAGATGAGTTCAGTTTAAAGCACACTGAACATTGAGTACAAAGATGCCCTCCAGAAAAAGAAGTCAACAGTATTGTAATGGTTAAGAGTGAGGGTGTGGTGTGGCTCTGGAGGCAGACTCTTGGAAAAGTTACTTAAGCTTTCAGTGCCTCAGTTTTCTTTTGTGGAGAACAGTGGTGAAAATAATACATACTTCATGGATTTGTTAGAAAGCTTGAATATAAAGTCATCCAGGAGGAATACTTAGAAAGGCACCATCTTTGAATGTAGCTACTTTGGCCACTGTTGGTGGGAGGATGGTACAAAGGGCATGAAGAAAGGGCACTTCCCACTGCTGTGGATGACAAGAGATACAGCTCTGAACAT